CTGACTTGGTTAACATGGTCATCATCTATATTATCACATGCTTCTATCCCCTTTTCTCTGCTTTTGTGGCCACATTCCTTTTAATATAAGTTCTTATTTTATGCTGGATCCTACAACTAATTTCTTGGATTTTAACTAGTCACCAGTCCATAAATTCCAGAATTCTGCCATGCAATCATTTGGTCTATATCTCTCCCCATAAAACATTACATGGGTTCCTAAGATTCTCTATAGCATCTCATTACTGAGTACCATTTATCATTATTCTTTTGTTTACAGTTTTGTTTTAATTCCAAATTATAGTTAATCTCCCCCCTGGCAACTACAAGAAATTATCTTAGTTAAATAACTTATTACCAGAGGATTCTTTGGTGGTTGTACTATAAGACATCTATTGCCTGGGTTGCTAAAGTATTTTCATCTTAACAATGATTTTTCTATAATGGTATCTGCCCTATAACTAAAAATACTTCTAGATTATCTTTCTTATTTTTCATAGCTTAAATCACATATATCTTCCTTGTACTTCAAACAAAATTCAGAATGGCTTTCTGATTTTTCTGTCACATGGTCCATACAGCCCATATATTTCCTTCACGGTTGCCTCCACAAAATATGTTAAAATTGTCTTTCTATCCAGAATTGTTAGGAAATAAGGACCGTTATAAACATATTTGTCCAGGTAACATGGATCAGACATCATATCTTGTTATCTTTATATCTTTTAAGAACCAGTATAGTATTGTGTAAATTGTAAGCATTCAGTGAATAATTGCTGGAGTTTTGGCAATTTTCTTGACTGTGGGGGTGTCTTTGGATGAGACAAGAAGGTAATGTTGGCCAAACTGGGGAAAAACAAGTCATACTAAATTTCACTATTATATTGGCTACTTTATGCTTATCTGGGCTAATTTGTGAACTTAATTTATTCCCCATAATTATGTAATAACACAGAGAGCTTTTCTATATATGTCTTAGTATTGAGTTTCATAGGGCACATGAATTGAGTTTCAGCCTGAGTGTTCCTCCTTTCTTCCTGTGGCAGAATTAATCCCTTCTTTTAGTATATCTTTATAATACTTGATGGCTTGTTTTGTTGTAATATTTATCACATTTTGTCATAATTAATTGTTTATATCTGTTTACCATTGTAGACTGTAAGCTCCTTGAGGGCAGGAATCATGTCTTAGTCTTATTCATTTTTTTTTTTTTTTAACATCCATAGGATACAATAGAAGCCTGTCACGTAGTAGGCATTGTGTGTGAGTGTGCACATGAGTGGTACACATTACGTACTAAATGAATGAGGGAGTGATGGGTAAAATTAGCATTATATATTGATGAAAATATATGTATTCTGAAAATGTCATTTTTTTGGTCTCTGTTTTATGTTTGTTTATTAATTTGTACCCTGCCTACTTTCAAAAAGGATTTGAGGTATCTTGTATGTCCCCATGTGGGAAATTCTCATTGAACCTTGTATATGGGATATCAGAACTATAAAGCTAAATGTACTGAAGTAATGTAGAATAAACGTAATTCCTTAGCATTTTTAGACAAGTGAACATTGGGGTTTTGACATCATTGATGACATAATCAATGCCTAATCATTCTCCCTGACCTTTATTTCCACCATTTTCCATTATACTTGAATATAGGGAGCCACATACTGCTGCCTATATATTAATAGTCATTACATTTGTTCAGATCTTGACTTTGTTTTATATTTCTCTAGTCGGCGTGGCACAAGCCTAATGGAAGATGATGAAGAGCCAATTGTTGAAGATGTTATGATGTCCTCAGAAGGGAGGATTGAGGATCTTAATGAGGGAATGGATTTTGACACCATGGATATAGATTTGGTAAGAAACCTAAGGATTTCTGTAAGATTTTCAATTTAGATCTTTTGAAAATCACGTTGAATATTTATTAGAGTAGAGAAATACTTAGCAAGAAAAATAAGTTTTGTGAAAATATTAAGTGAAATAGTTGCCAGGGGTTTAGGTATATGGGAGGGGATTTAGAAGAGAGTAAGGTTGGTGAAGGTGGTAGATCCTAGATTAAGATGATAAAGGTTGTCTGCTTCTGAGATTAATTTAGGGATATAGGCCGGGCGCAGTGGCTCACGCCTATAATCCCAGCACTTTGGGAGGCTGAGGCGGGTGGATCATGAGGTCAAGAGATCGAGACCATCATGGTCAACATGGTGTAACCCCGTCTCTACTAAAAATACAAAAAAAAAATTAGCTGGGCGTGGTGGCGTATGTCTGTAGTCCCACCTACTCGAGAGGCTGAGGCAGGAGAACTGCTTGAACCCAGGAGGCAGAGGGCGGAGGTTGCGGTGAGCTGAGATTGTGCCATTGCACTCCAGCCTGGGTAACAGGAGTGAAACTCTGTCTCAAAAAAAAAAAAAAAAATTTAGGAATATATAGGTTTAAAGGGTATATTTTGATTAATAATAATTTGACTATGAAAATCCATTATTTAATGATTATGCATTTTAAAAAATACGAGTTAGTATAAAAGTATATCACCTCATAACTTTCTATTTATTTACCATTATTAAAACAGTATATTAACTTAATACTACCTGTTGAGACAAATTCCATGTCAGATAATGAAGTAAAATTACTTAAACTTCGAAGGAAGTTAAATAAATGCAGAAGCATATTCTTTATTAATAATTAAATATGTGATTAGGGCTAATCGTATACATAATGGTTCTATATATTTCATTTTGCTACATATCTCATTCAACTTTGTGAGGTAGGTTGAGAGGATTGAGGATATTAAAGCTTACTCTCCCCAAGGCAAAACTAGTGAACAGGAAAGTTGATACTCAAAGTCAAGTCTTCTCATTCTTTTTAGTAAACTATGGTGTATTCTTCTTAAAGAAATAATTAAATTTTTAGAATGGTATAATTTAGCGCCTTGAAAGGAAAATGATTTGAGAGAGTGATCCCTTCCCCCCCCCCCCCCCGAGACGGAGTTTCACTCATGTTACCCAGGCTGGAGTGCAATGGCGCGATCTCGGCTCACCGCAACCTCCGCCTCCTGGGTTCAGGCAATTCTCCTGCCTCAGCCTCCTGAGTAGCTGGGATTACAGGCACGCACCACCATGCCCAGCTAATTTTTTGTATTTTTAGTAGAGACGGGGTTTCACCATGTTGACCAGGATGGTCTCATTCTCTTGACCTGGTGATCCACCCGCCTCGGCCTCCCAAAGTGCTGGGATTACAGGCTGGAGCCACCGCGCCCGGCCGAGAGAGTGATTCTTAAAGTAAAAGGAAAAATGAGTTTTTTTGGTTTTTGTCTCTCAGGACAATTTTCCATGAGTATTTAAAATATTGTATGAGGTACACTTACAATCACATAGGCCATGTGAACACTTAACTTGGATATTTTGAGTTACTATCTGGTTTGTAGATATAGCTAATGTCAACTTATTTCCTTTTTTCTTTTAGCCACCATCAAAGAACAGACGAGAGAGAACAGAACTGAAGCCTGATTTCTTTGATCCAGCTTCAATTATGGATGAATCAGTAGGTTTAATTTAAATGTACCCCAGGATTGCAAAATCAAAAGTATAGGCAGTCTCTCAGTTCGAGGTTGAAGACCTGGTGTAGCATACTGAGAATAGATGAAAACAGTTGGGCATGAGAAAAAGAGGCAGGCAGGCAGGATTTCAGTGGGAGGGGAAGAGAGTGATACAATAGTGGTAACAGATTAGAAGAGTACTTTTGAATCCTGGCTGACTGGGACTTGAATATTAAGGAATTTGGACTGTTCTTCCAGGTTTGTACTGTTCTTCAATGGGTTGCCCATTGAAGGATTTTTATGATCAGAATTGTATTTCAGAAAGACTTCCTTAACATTTATTGATAGACAGGATGAATGAGGGGCATAATTGTAATATAAAGGCATGGTGAAAAATAATGAGAACTTGAACAAAGCCTTTGATAATGAAGAGAAGCGTACCAGGCTGTCTAGGATGAGAATCAGTTACAACTCCCACCATCCTTAATTGGTTATTATTGGGCTTTGTCAGTTCTTTTTCTTAAGTACCTCTTATATCAGTCCCCTGTGCCATATTCTCCCTGACAGTTCCTTGATTTGGGTCCTCCTCAGTTTTCACATGGGCTGTTGCAAAGCCTTTAAGCTGACATTGTGGTCCCACTGCTCCTTTATATCTCTTGTGGGGTCATCTTTCTAAAAATGCAGATCTAGTATTCTCTCACTTAACATTCTAAGTCTTCTATTGATTTTTTCCCCAATTGCCATTAGGAAGAAACTTCTAGCTCCTCAGCCTAGCAAACAAAGCCTTTTATGATCTGGTTCCTTTGCTCCCTTAACCTTGACCTTTTCCTTACATGTATTCTGTGCTCTAGCCATATCAAATCTTGTAGCTCCTCTCAAATACACTATACTCTTTCCTGACTCCGTAACTTTGTATAAACTTTTTTCTGCCAGAAGTTCTATTTCCTCCTAGTAAAGTCTTCCTTTAATACTAATTCAGACATTACCTGTGGAATTTTTGCTGACTTTCACAGATATTTTTTTTCTCTGCTTCCTTAACTCTTTGTATATATTTGATTATAATAATTACCAGACTTGCGTTGTGAGATAGGATATTACATGCCCTCATCTTTCACTAGACTGACCTCCTTGAGGCAGTGACGATGTTAGTCATGTTTAGTTTTGCCCAGCACGGTAGATGTTTAGTTTTGTCAAATGAATGAATCATTTAAATGTCCTGCCATCTCCTTAGTATCTACCCATTTTATGTTCCTCACACCTCCAGCCTCAAGTGACTGTTATACCATCCTCTAAGGCCTGCCTTCTATGCCCAATTTCTACCATTCCCTCCTTGCCCTCTCCCACCTCATAATCTGCTTTCAGATAGCTTTTAGAACTATTTTGAGAAACTAATTCACACTAACATGTTATATTAATAAGATCAAGGGGCCTGGCGCAGTGGCTCTTGCCTGTAATCTCAACACTTTGGGAGGCAAAGGCAGGAGGATTGTTTGAGTCCAAGAGCTTGAGACAAGCTTGGGCAACACAGTGAGACCCTGTCCTTACAAAAAGTAAAAAAATTAACCAGGCCTGGGGGTGCGTACCTGTGGTCCCAGCTACTCAGGAGGCTGAGGTGGGAGGATCGCATGAGCCCAGCAGGTTGAGGTGGCAGTGAGCTGTGTTCACAATACTGCACTCCAGCCTAGGTGACAGAGCGGAGACCCTGTCTCAAAAAAAAATACTATCAAAAAAAAAAAAATTTAGAATCCGCTTTGATTGGTCTTAAGTGTGCATCTACATCTGAGATTCTTCATTACTAACAAATGCTGTCAATGCTTCGGGTCTGCAAACCATACTTTGAGTAGCAAGACTTTATAGTATCTAAGTGACCTATCCCACTCATAAGTCTACAGTTTAACTGCACACTGAAGTATGTGGTTTTCTTGATAATTAATCTAAGACTATGTATTATTCTAGTTCGTTAAATAAAACATGAAGGTAGTGATAGTGATGAGGGGTGGTTAAAAGGGTATTTTCAAGCAGGTGTGATGAAATGCATTCATTCAGCAATTTATTACAACAGAAGTTGGTGCTAAAGTGAATAAGACACTCTCCCTGTCCTTAAGGAATTCATATTCTAGTGCACCTTGACTAGCACTTTGAAATGAAAAGTATGGAAAGTAGGAGTTGAGAGCTTGGGTGACAGGCACTATGCTAGATATAATTTGTTTTGATTCTCAGCAACCTTGTGAGAAAGGTAATGGGATTTCCACTTTCATACCATAGCAAGCTGAGACTGAAGAGTAGGTTTAGTGACTTTGCTCAGTTATACAGTTAGTAAGTGTCTGAGTAGTAATTTGATGCCAGTTCCTTTTGGGTTAATAATCTCATGCTGTCTCTACTGTGGTACTTCCCAAAACTAAAATCAGACCACATTTGGATGAAACACCAACAAAAGTAATTAAGAAATTGAAGTGGTTAACTATGATCAAAATTCATATGGGCAGTTAGGATCACCATTTTTTTATGTATGTGTCTAATGTCAGGAGAACTTTTAACATTTGTTTCCTTAGTTACATACTAGATTTGCAAAAAGGTGTTCTTCAGATTACTAAAATAAACAGCAGTATTAACTATGACATTTCACATTTAGAGAAAAGTAGCAGCCCAATAGTGATTTTTTATTTATAGTGATTTTATAGCATTCTTGTGTATATTGAATGTTACAACTGAGAGGCTTTTATTTATTCTTAATTTGATAATAGTTTAACTGCTTGTGCTACTAAAATTAGGAAAATGAGTACGTGTACTTATAACTGTAGTTTTACAGCATTACCACATGATGGCAGCAGTCACATAACTGAATGCTCAATAATCTTTAAAGGCTTAGGTATTTTTAGAAGTCTTTGACAATATAATTTTTTTAAAAAAGTTAATAATAGCTTATTTTTAAAAATATACACTAAACTGTACTCCATACTGTCTCAACCATAACTTAAGAAGTGGAATAGTGGGAAATTATGAATGTAAAATTCCGTTTTTCTTTATACAACACCCCACATCTGTTCTTACTCAAGCCCATAATAATGGAGTCATCAAAACAGTAGCAAAATTGGGATTTAAATTCTTTAATGTCCAGTTCTATGATTCTCCAATTCTAAGGGAAGTAACTCAAAGCACCCTAGAATAGATACTTCATGTTGTTACTAAATAAATCGTAAAAATTTCTTTTTAAACATGATTTTCACATCCAGGAGTAGTAATATAAAACTCTGAGCATATATTTTGTGTTGCATATACATAAAGCTCTAGATTTATGGGGTGTAGCTAGTTTTATATTTGGACACAAATTGGTTTATTCCATTTTGATAACAGTCGTTTTCTGCCAGTATTGCCAAAACACATTGAAGTTTGTTTTTTTGAGACGGAGTTTCGCTCTTGTTACCCAGGCTGGAGTGCAATGGCGCGATCTCAGCTCACCGCAACCTCCGCCTCCTGTGTTCAGGCAATTCTCCTGCCCCAGCCTCCTGAGTCGCTGGGATTACAGGCACGCACCACCATGCCCAGCTAATTTTTTGTATTTTTAGTAGAGACGGGGTTTCACCATGTTGACCAGGATGGTCTCGATCTCTTGACCTTGTGATCCACCCGCCTTGGCCTCCCACAGTGCTGGGATTACAGGCTTGAGCCACCGTGCCCGGCCCCCACATTGAAGTTTTGTATTTGTACTTTTAAAAATATGGTTAAGTATTTATTAATGTTAACATCAGAAAGGCACAGTTCGTGTTGACACAGAAAAGAAAGTGTCACTACTGTCATTCTCCTGTGTTGAGATTCCCTAATTAGAATTACTTGTAGTATTAAATTGGTAAAGAAGGGTTTCGTGTAATGGAGCTAATTTAATGTTCTGGTAAGATAATCTAGTTATCACCTAGTCTGTACAAAACAACAAAAAGAATCTCAAGGGTTCAGGTGCTTTCTAGATAGGCACTCTGGAAAGAACTTGAGTTTGTCTTCCTTCCACACACTATACTAAATTGATAATTAAGATTTTATACTTTATTCATCATCAGACCTTTCCCTACGGAGATTCATAGAGTGTTAGGGCAAGAATTGGCCTTTAAACATTATCTAGGTCTCTTTAGTGGAAACATTCTAACCACCCAAACTCTGACTCTAACCAAAAAAGGAGAACCCTGAAGCATGCAGGAAGGGGAGGACAAGGGATTAGTAGTGTGGTAGTTTTTGTGAATGGACAGGTAAGAAACTGGGTGCATGAGTCCTCTTTGTTTTCATTACCTGGGATTCCAAACACTACTTGATAATTCATTATAAAAAGGCTGCAGTCAGATACTTCTTTCTGGGTCTGAAAATACAGTTTCTTCAGCTCAAAACAATACATGAGTTCTATGACTTTTACTTATAGAATTTATAAGAGATTTAACTTACAAGTAAGAGCTCTTTATAAGAGCTCTTACGTCTGGCTTTGATATCAGTTCTTAATAGCTCATTATAGTATTCTAAAATATTACTTAATTGGCATAAGTGCTAAATTTTAATTGAACAACCTTTTAGCATATATGCTAACAGTCACATGCCATTCTTGTTTAATGGACAAGGGGGAGTTGTCCTTTCATCATCTGTTTTTACTTTTAGTGGCAAGTAATTATTAGGTTTTACCTAACATTCCTTTCTCAACTGGAGTATATAGAAAGTATCACTATAAGTCATTTTGCCCAGATTTTACCTTACCCTTTCATTTCCTAAAATTACTGTTCTGTTCCATTCACTTTGGCCAGATTTTCTAAAGAAAGCTTCCTGCTTTCTATATACTTGAATTGTTCTTAGATTTTTTTTTTTGTCTGCATGTTCAAATGCCTTTTCTGAAAAACCATACCCACTTCCAAGCACAAATAGCCAAGTTTGCAAGACTTTCTTAACTTCATTCCAAGGAACCTGTACCAGAAATATATATGAAGAAGCACATTCATTTGTTCATTCAACAAATACCTATGTTGAATGTCTATGTTTAGGGCATTATCTAGACATTAGAGGTATATATAAACATAATTAATCCACGGTTCTTACTTTAATTATATTTGTGAGGTAAGTTGCATCTATATTATTCATGGTGTTATTTCATTATATATGATGGTCAATTTAATTTTAGAATTACACATCTGAAGAGAGGGGAAGTTTTCAAAGTGGTTTTATTAGCACGTTATTTAACATAATAATGTATTAATGTAATATTTACAGATATATTTAAAGAAATGAATGACTTATTTTAACGAGATTTTCTCCCCTCTCTCTCATTAGGTTCTTGGAGTGTCAATGTTTTAATACCAGTACACAATTAAATCTGTGGTGAAGTCGTTTTCTAAGTGGAAGAGGAAATTTTAAAGTGTGGTAGATACAGTGAAATTCTGTACAGATTTTTCTCTAAGGAGAATATGACATGCTTATGCTTACCAAGATCAAGTGCATTGAGGGGCAGTTTTGTTTGCCTGAAAAAAAGTAAAGGACAAGTAAACAATTTGATGATAAGCTACAGTTTTTCTTAGAAAGTAAATATTTTATTTATGCGCTGTTAGTTGGCTTTCAAATCGATTATTTCATGCTTTTTTTTAAAAAAAAAAAAACAAAATAACAATCTGAAAAGGCGTTTGGTACAGATACGAATTCTCTTACATTTATTTACTGGTTGTACTAAATAAATATGACCTCTGCTGGATTTCTGTTTACATCCAATAAACAATGTTAAGGATGTATTTATTCCCCTACCCTGAAGAAAGTTTAGGATAGAATTGTTTTTAGCATTCTAAATTTAAATGCTTAAAACATCAATCAACAAAACTTTGTTTTAAATATTGTAATTGTGGAGAAAAGTAAACTTATAAGCAGAACTTTTACAATTTTTTCATCTAAAAGTATTTTAAGATATTTTTAAAATCCAAGAGCTTCTCTATACTTTTCAGAAATATCCAGATGCAGTGAACTGCCAGAAGGTAACCAGTCTCAAACATGCTTATCCCATTATCAACCCTGAAAGTTTGCTTGTCCTTTAAGATAAAAATGTAATGTTGTGATATTCCTTCCAGTAGTGCCACTGTATTTTGTCTCCAAATAAAAGAAGCTTATTGTAGTATGTTTGCAGAAAAATTCTAAACAAAAATTATACAGCTTATTAGAGTGTGGGAATAGGGATCTAAATTTTAAATAAAATTATATATATATATAAATTGGTGCTGATTTTATAATTGCGCAGTTTGTTTAGTTTTTTCTTACTTTTAAATTCCAACTTAAAATTATGAGGTTTCAGAAATATATTGAAAGTTTAACAATGTTTAAAAATAGAAAAGCATGAGTGTTCATGCTTTAAAATGATTTTTAAATTTGTATTTTATATTGTTTTATCTATCTGTCTTTGCAAGCAGTCTTCAGGTTAAAGATACTTCTAACAGGTTACAGTACATTTCCTCTGTATGTAAATTAGATGGGATAATAGAATTCATAACCCATAATATTCTTTGAAAGCTAAGCTTTAAACTTCATTTTATGTCCTTTCACAAATAAATTAGTTTAAAACAGAAAGTGGCTACTTGCCATTTTGACATCAACTCATTTTGCGAGGCTTAGGCAGCTAGACATCGTTTAAAACAAAATATTAACTTATATTACATGTGTATCTATCTTTTGTCAGTCGTCTCTCTCGGTTCTTGAGGTATATTATTTTAATCATTCCATGCCTTAATATGCTTGCAATACAAGAATATCTTCAGATGGGTGAATACCAAAAGGCTTCCAGTTTTTAGTCAGAAATCAACAAGCATTGGGCTGTGGTAGCCAAAAACCATAGGTTAGCTAAAAAGATCATGATACAATACAATTATTTTATTAAGTCATGGTTAATAACAAGTGAATCCAGACTTGTCTAACAGATTTTCCATCAACAAATATTGTTATGTGCAAAAGTATTGCCTATGTTGTTTTACACACCACTGCATTAACTAGAACTGCTGAGAGGACTGTATATATGATTTTAAACCTAAGTTGATTTTTTTTCTCACTCTTGAAAGGAGTACTTCTTTGTGAAAGCAGTTCTTACAGCTTTGTTTTCAACCAGCTAAAAATGTTTTATATATTACTCTAACCTGTTGTCCTCCACATTCTATTGTCCTAATTGTACTGTTTTCTGATTTGTATTTATGTCTTGAGACAGTAACTTTTTGAATAAAAATAAACCTACAGTATGTTGTATGTTTTCTCTTGTACTCAAAGGGGGAGGATGGCTATAAATGGTTCGCAAGTTAGATCTATTATCACATCTTTTAATGTGTTTGGAGAATAATTTATAGAGAACACCATCAGTTTATATTTTTAATAAACCATATGTATTTACAATGAAACTAAATCCCTAACTGGGTTATTACTTTAAAATAGGAACCTGTAACCATTATTGCTTTAATTTTCATCTGGTATGGGTTAAACACATTTACAAATGTTTACATTGTTTATACAGGGTACATTTGAGTGCCTACTGTGTGCTAGGCATGTGTTAAGAGATCCCTCCTTCATAGATCCATTGGGGAAAACTAAAATAATGAAACTTATAATAAATGCTAGGAAGGAAACAAGCAGGATATGCTGAGGTAGAGAACGAGAGAGAGAAACCTGCCTTCAATAAGGGGCTCATGGCATGGCGGTAAAAACCAACATTTGAAAAAGAATTTACTAATTGAATTCATAGTGAAAACTCATCAGAGAAAGTGTTGACAAGATTCGAATTGTACTCTTTAAGAGAATCGTGTCAGTTTAACACAGCCCATTGTTCATTTGGGCTAGTTTGTGGATCATATTAGAATTGTCTTCTGTCAATAGTGATTCAGAAGTGAACATATAAAATGATAGCTAAAACAATTTGGTGCTGTTTTAAGTAGTTTACATGTAGTTACTAAGTCTCGTGACAAGAGTTGATAATGCTGTTATTTCCCCCACCCCTCCCACCATTTTTTTATAAAACAAATCAGAAGGAAGTGAGAATGAGGTACAAAGAAGTTTAAATACCTTAGACCAGGAGTACCAGAACGTGGCCTGTTCGGGACTGGGCCGCTTGGTAGGAGGTGAGTGGCAGCCTAGTGAGCAAACATTAACCACTCTGCCTGTTGTCAGATGGTATTAGATTCTCATAGGAGCTCAAACCCTATTGTAAACTGCACGTGCGAGGAATCTAGGTTGAATGTTCCTTATGAGAATGCTTGATCTGAGGTGCAACAGTTTCATCTTGATCCCTCTCTCCCACCCCACCCCGACAGTCTGGAAAAATTGTATTCCATCAGACTGGCTGCTGGTACCAGAAAGGTTGGATACCACTGCCTTAGATAAGGTTATGTGGCTAGTAAATATGGAGTTAGTATTCCAACGTAGGCAGTCTGGCTGCATTAACTCCCAGAAAGCATTGAAACTATTTGATAGATAAGGGTAACTTAACATAATTGCACACGCCTAAAATGGTACATAGTTCATTGTGCAGGACGTAGTGCATGTATCTCCTTAAGAGTCCAGCTGGCTGTAGAGCCAAGTGGTGTAAATAAACATTGTCCTCAATATGCTACCTTACTGGCTTTCCTAAAGAAGATGTAAGTTGAATCTGAGTCCTGAGCTTATCAGTGGTTTAGTTAATAAAGCTGAGAGACTGGGGAAGAAGAGTAGGATAACTGAAATGTCTTCAATATTCTGCCACAAAGGGAACTAGTAAGAGTTCACATGGATGAATACAGATCAGAGTATTCTGGTAGCTGTAATGATTCAGTAAAAGAAAATGATCCAAGAAAGCACCATGCCTTTGGTTATGAGGAAACTCAGTGTTGAAGTCCACTGAATATCACTTCAGGTCAACAAATGCGCGCCTGGCCTAGTGCTAGCTGGTGAGAAGGCAAAGACCAACCAGACAGATTTTGTGCTTACACTTCTGCTGGGGCTTAGGATGCAGATGCAAAAAGAATAAAATGAAGTAAGTTTAGTGTTTTTATTGGGTGATAGGGGAGCACAGAGGAGGGGCACAAACAGTGGATGTGCTCAGTGAAACTTCCTATAAGGCTGACGCTTAACTTGAATTCTCCCCCGAAATGTTTTATGAAAACTTACAACAAAGTTGGAAGAATTTTACTTTGAATACACTCTTGTACTTGACTTTACCACATATCCATCTGTCTCTCATGTATGTATTTCAAAGTAAATTGCAAACACTGGCACACTACATCCTAACTACTTCAGTGTGCATATCATTAAAAGTTGACTGTTTTCTCTTTTGGTGTATAATTTTTTTTTTTCTTTTTTTTTCTTTTGAGACGGAGTTTCGCTCTTGTTACCCAGGCTGGAGTGCAATGGCGCGATCTCGGCTCACCGCAACCTCCGCCTCCTGGGTTCAGGCAATTCTCCTGCCTCAGCCTCCTGAGTAGCTGGGATTACAGGCACGCGCCACCATGCTCAGCTAATTTTTTTGTAGTTTTAGTAGAGACGGGGTTTCACCATGTTGACCAGGATGGTCTCGATCTCTTGACCTCGTGATCCACCCGCCTCGGCCTCCCAAAGTGCTGGGATTACAGGCTTGAGCCACCGCGCCCGGCCCTGGTGTATAATTTTTATATAGTGAATACACAAACTATATATTTGCTGTTTTGACAAATGCTTACACTGCATAACCCAAATCCCTATTTTAACATTACCATCAAACCCAGAAAGTTTCTTTATTCTCCTTAACCAACCTGTGTTTCTGTCCTCTAGAAATAATAGCTGTTATGTTTCCATCATTTGGCTGTTACAGAACTTCATATAAGTGGAATCATGCTGTATTTTTGTGCAAAATTTCTTTCAGCAAGTTTTTGAGATTTACGGATGTTTCATATATCAACAGTTCATTCTTTTTAATGTGTTTCATTATAAAGATATACTACAATTTGTTATGGGTTGTTTCTACTTTTTTGGTTATGAATAAAGCTGCTACCTGAGTTGCATTTTAAAAGCTGAGAGGTGGGCTAGGGGAAAGGAAGACTGGGTGACGAAGCTGAAAATTTCAGGCAAAGGAGGCAAATGACCATCTTAAGATGTGAGAACTATTTAGTAATTGCTTAAGGGTGGATGGGGCAAGACTGGAAAGGATAGTTGACCATCCAGTTATCCAGTACCTCACATCAGCTTTAAAAATGAAAAGACACCCACAAAGTGATACCTTTGGTAACTTAAGTGTTTTCATGTGTAATGTGCTCAGAATTGGCAAAGATCCAAAATAGTAGCAGGGTGCCTTTAAATGACTTGTGAGAAATTGGTTTGTTTAATAATGTGGGTGTTTTCATCACATCAGGCCTTATTCTGCCATTGAGGAAAATGAAAGGCCAGCTACTATAAGTTTATTTTTCATTTTTTATTTTTACTTGTTTTAATTGACTATACACACACACACACACACACACACACACACATAGACAAAAACTATTCATGTGTATATGTTGTAAAAGATGTATATATTGTGGAATGGCTAAATCAAGCTAACATGCATTACCTCACATTTTTTGTGGAGAGGAGTCTTTTGCTATTATTGTATTGCGTATTCTCCCTTCAAATTTATTAATGTTTGCCATATAAACTTAGGTGCTCCAATGTTGGATATATCTATATTTACAATTGTTACATCCTCATGATGAATTATCACCTTTATCATTATATAATGACAAGAACTATTCATGTGTATGTGTTTTAAAACGTATATATTGTGGAATGGCTAAATCAAGCTAACATTCAGTACTTCACATATTTTTTGTGGAGAGGAGTCTTTTGCTATTACTATATTGTGTATTCTCCTTTCAAATTTATTAATGTTTCCCATATATACTTAGGTGCTCCAATGTTGGATATATCTGTATTTACAATTGTTATATCCTCATGATGAATTATCCCCTTTATCATTATATAATGACCTTCTTTGTGTCTTTTTACAGATTTTACTCAAATTTTATTTTATCTAAAATATAGCTACCCCTGCTATCTTTAGGTTTTCACTTGTGTAGAATAGATTTTTCCATCCCTTCACTATAAGTCTGTGTGTATTCTTAAAGATGAAGTGAGTCTCTTTTAGGCAGTATATAGTTAGGTTTTACTTTTAAAAAATCCATTCAACCACTTTTTTGTTTGGAGAATTTATTCCATTTACATTCATAGTAATTATTGATAGGTAAGGACTTATTACTGCTATTTTGTTCATTGTTTTCTGGTTGTTTTTAGATCCTTTGTTCCTTTCTTCCTCTCTTGCTGCCTTCCTTAGTCATTAGGTGATTTTCTCCAGTGATATTTTTTATTCCTTACTTTATATCTTTTGTGTATCTTCTTTTTTTTTGAGATGGAATTTTGCTCTTGTTGCCCAGGCTGGAGTGCAATGGCGCTATCTCGGCTCACTGCAACCTCCGCCTCCTGGATTCAAGCCATTCTCCTGCCTCAGCCTTCCGAGTAGCTGGGATTACAAACGCCCGCTACCATGCCCAGCTAATTTTTGTGTTTTTAGCAGAGACGGGGTTTCATCATGTTGGCCAGGCTGGTCTCAAACTCCTGATCTCAGGTGATCTGCCCGCCTTGGCCTCCCAAAGTGTCGGGATTACAGGTGTGAGCTACCGCGCCCAGCCTTGTGTATCTTCTATAGCTTTTTGCTTTGTGGTTACTATGAGGTTTACATGAAACATTTTGCAATGATAACAGGCTATGGTAAGCTGAAAACAATTTAACATTTATTGCATTAAAAAACTACACTTTTACTCTACCCCCCCCAATTTTATGTTTTTGAAGGCAGAAGTTACATCTTTTTATATTGTCCATCCTTTAACAAATTATTATAGCTATTATTTTTAATAATTTTATCTTTTAACCATCATAGTAAAGATATAACTGATTTATACACCATCATTATAGTGTTAGAGTATTCTGAATTTGTATATTTACTTTTACCAGTGAGTTTTATACTTTTATATGGTTTTGTCTAATTAGCATTATCTTTTATCTTGAAGTACTCCCTTTAGCATTTCTTGTTAGACAGGTCTGATGGTGATGAACTCCCTCAGTTTTTATTTGTCTGGAAATGCCCTTATCACTCCTTCATTTCTGAGGGACAGCTTTGCCAGGTACATGTTCTTGGTTAGCAGGTTTTTCCTTTAGCACTTTGAATATAATCATCTTACTTTCTCCTGGCCTGTAAGGTTTCTGCTAA